TCAAGGGTAAAACACAAACATCAAGGGTAAACATAAACATCAAGGGTAAAACACAAACATCAAGGGACTCTGTAAACACAAACATCAAGGGACTCTGAAAAACACAAACATTAAGGGCCTCTGTAAACACAAAACATTAAGGGACTCTGTAAACACAAACATTAAGGGACTCCTGTAAACACAAACATTAAAGGGACTCTGTAAACACAAACATCAAGGGACTCTGTAAACACAAACATCACAGGTACTGTGTAAACACAAACATCAAGGGTAAAACATCAAGGTACTCTTGCAAAACACAAACATTAAGGACTCTAAAACACAAAACATTAAGGGACTCTGTAAACACAAAACATTAAGGGACTTGTAAACACAAACATTAAGTGGACTGTAAACACAAACATTAAGGGCCTCTGTAAACACAAACATTAAGGGGACTCTATAAACGACCTGTTCTTGCATACTGTGACGGTACTGACGTTACCCCCCCTTCAGGTCATGGGACTTAAACTGTACCCAGAATAATGAACCAGGTGGAGTGAATACTCTCTCTCTCCTCTCTCTCTCTCTCTCTCTCTCTCTCTCTCTCTCTCTCGGTGTTCTTGACATCGGTTCTTCTTACACCGACTTAACAGCTTTAATTGGTTTTAGGGACAGGTTAGGTTAGGTTAGGTTAAGACGCTACCTAGGCTAGTTAATGTAACATTTTGAATAACCCGCCGCCTTTATTACCCTGAGACCACATCAGAATTATTAACCGGTAATTTCATGAAAACTTTATTAATATATTTTTTATGCCTTTATTTTGTTCTTTTATTTAATGGTAATGACATATAATTTTGTTTTGTATTTTCTGAAACTGTTAGGCATTATGACACGGTTACTGCAAGTGATTTATTTTACCTGTAATTAATGCCTAATTTTGTACCTGTATTACACCTTCTTGATTATTCTGTAGCCACCTGGAAATAACTGTACCTGTTATACCTGATACTTGTTTGTATACCTGTACTAAACTATTAATTATCTACCTGTACTTTAAAACTAATTAATTATCTACCTGTATAAACTTAAATATTTACCTGAGACCCGAATGTAGATCAGTCAGTCAGTCATCAGCCAGTCATCCAGTCAGCTGTGTTGGTGGATCTACAGTCAGGAGGAAAGTTAAGACAAATATTTAGTTATGCGGATGAAGCCAATTAGTCACACGGGTTACCATCCAACTGAGATATCCACAAAACTACCCGCCTGTGTGTGTGTGTGTGTGTGTGTGAGAAAGTCGCTCATTGGAACACCGGGTTTCACTAGATCTTGTTTAAGGTTAATAGTGAACACAAAAAGCCCATTTGAAGACCTGTTACCATACAACAAGGGTCTAAGCTACAGGTAGGTAGGGGTGAAGTGGTGGTGGTGCAGGGCAGTGACGACCATAGAGTCAGGTGGTGAGTGGACAGCGGCGGGGGGGTGGTGCCCGGCAGGTAGATAGGTAGGGTGTGTGTGTGTGCTGAAAGTCCATTGCATAAGCTTCTTGTAGTATAAATAAGCTTCCTCTCTCCTCCCCTCTCCTCTCCCCTCCACCTCCTCCTCTTCATCACCATTCATTCCCTAACTCCTCCTCATCGCCCCTTTCCCCCTCCATTCCTCCCCCACCTCCTTCATTCCCCCTTCCTCCTTCACTCTCCCTCCTCCTTCTCCCCCCACCATTCACTCCCCTCCCCCTCCCCTCCATTATTCACTCCTTCCCCTAGCCCCTCCCCCTTTCGCCCCTCATCACTGGCCTCACCCTCACCCCCCTTCGTCCCCCCCTTTCACCTTCTCCACCCATCAACAAAGCCTTGGCAACCCACATCACGTCCGTGTCAACAGTGGAAGTCATACTACGTGTTTTGTGAGCTATAGCCCTGGTTACTTCTCATCGTTATATCACCTTCTAGTTATCATTATGTCGTTGTGTGTGTGTGTGTGTGTGTGTGTGTGTGTGTGTGTGTGTGTGTGTGTGTGTGTGTGTGTCTGTGTGTGTGTGTCTGTGTGTGTAATAATATATTATAATAATAAATAATAATAATTAACGGTTTATTGAAAAAGTCGGCAGCCAGGCTGAAAATATACATTGGACAAAGTGACTTATTACATACAAAGACATGGGGTGGTGGTCGTTTAACAAAAACTTTCATTACTGAAAGAAGAAGACATGAATTGAACATACAAATTATTATAGTTAACAGTTGATGGCGGGCCTGGGCTGGTCATGGAGACACCAGGTGGTGTGGTGTTCACGTGGTGTATACTCGTCCTCAGGTGTTATGAGGACCTCACGTGGTCATGGGACACCTGGTGGTGTGGGGTGGTGTCCAGTACCTCACCCTGCTGGGTGGTGTTGTGTTATTTCGTAGTCAGGTGTGATGCCAACCCACTGTTGTTCACAGGGGTGGGCTGATTAGCACCTCCTGGTCAGAAGATGGCGGTCAGTTCGGTGCTTCTCTCACTGGTGGTCATCTCACTGGTACTGTCTAGTGCTGAATTCACTGGCCTAAACACTGTTCATCACTGTTCAACAGTCCACTTCTTTCCGAAACATTGTCACTTTGATTATGTAGATATCGGTGGTGAGGATGGGTCGGGGAGAGGACTTGGGATGGGCGAGCTGATGTTGGGGGCAGCTGCGTGAGCAGCGCCTGAATAGGTCTTGACCTACGGTGGTCAGGGATGTGTGTGTACGGCACCATATCCCAGGAAATGTGTGAAAATTTAAGTAATTGTGGGTGTAGTGACGTGATGTGCTGTGAGGCTCTTTCAGTGCACCGCCATGTCTGATCACACACACACACACACACACACACACACACACGTTTGCATTCTTGTGTACGTAAGACCATCCATGTATTCTATTGTCGCGTAGCTACAGGCTCACTGACTTATGTGTGTGTGTGTGTGTGTGTGTGTGTGTGTGTGTGTGTGAGGCAGAGGTGGGGGGGTGAGAAACGGTGTGGGTGGAATCACTAAGGTAGGGGTGGGTGATAGGTGGTGAGAAATGGGGCAGATGGGTGAGTGGGAAAGGTGTAGTGGGGGTGAGGAAGGGGGGTGCGTGAGGTGAAGGGGAGGGAGTTGTAAATATGAACAATAACTAAGGTAATTACTATTTCCCCAGGTGTGTTGATGTGACTCACCTTGACATACTGTTCTCTTAACACGACCCGTTATTATGAAGTGTTTGGTTAATATACTGGTAACACTTCCTTGCCTCGTTAATTCAGTGTTGTTAATATCGTTGTTGTTGTTTATTGTTAACCTATTTTGTTCCTATTTAATTATTTGTGTTTATAAAAGCTCACTCTTCCCCTCACCTTACCACACCCACCTTCCACCACCTCACCCCACCCTCACCTCACCTCACCCTCCTCACCCCTCACCCCACCCTCACCCACCCTCACCTCACCTCACCCCCCACCTTCCTCCACCCCACACCCACACCTCTCCTCTACCCTCCATCCACCCCAGCCCACCCCACCCCCACCACACTCTCACACAAGACTCCCCACCCCGTCATAGGTGGGAGGATAATCTAAGGTCGGGGTGATAACCAACAATTAGCTAATAACACAAATTAGGAGGTTCTTCGCCTTAATGTGATGGGGTGTCTCTCCCTCCTCTCCCTCTCTTCTTCCTCCTTTCCCCTACCAGCCCTCCCTCCTTTCCTCTCTCCTCCTTTCCCTCTCTCCCTCTTTCCTCTCCCTCCTTCCCCCTCCTCCCTCCTCTCTCTCCCTCCCTCCTTCCCCTCCCTCCTCCTCCTCCCTCCTCTCCTCCTTTCCCTCCAGCCCTCCTCCTTTCCCTCTCCCTTCTTTCCCCTCCTCCCCTCTCTCCTCCCTCCCTCCCTCCCTCCTCCTTCCTCCCTCCCTCCTTTCTCTCTCCTTCTTTCCCCCCTCCCTCCCTCTCTCCCTCCCTCCCTCCTCCTCCTCCTCCCTCCTCTCTCTCCCTCCCTCCCCTCCCTCTCTCTCCCTCCCCTCCTCTCTCCTCCCTCTTTCCTCCCCTCCTTTCCCCCTCCTCCCTCTCTCTCTCCCTCCCTCTTTCCCCCCTCCCTCCCTCCCTCCTTCCTCCTCCTCTTTCCTCTCTCCCTCTTCCCCCTCCCCCCTCCCTCCTTTCCCCTGCCCTCCCTCCTTTCCTCTCTCCTTCTTTCCTCCTCCTCTCCCTCCCTCCTTTCCCTCCTCCCTCCCCTCCCTCCCCTCTCTCTCCCTCCCTCCCTCCTCCTCCCCTCTCCCTCTCTCCTCCTCCCTCTCTTTCCTCCCTCCCTCCCCTCTCTCTCCCTCCCCTCCCCTCCCCTCCCTCCCCTCCCTCTTTCCCCTCCCTCCCCTCCCTCCCCTCCCCTCCCTCCCCTCTCTCCCTCCTCCCTCTCCTCCTCCCTCCCTCTCTCCCTCCTCCTTTCTCCCCTCCCCTCCTTTCTCCCCTCCCCTCCCTCCCTCCCCTCCCTCCCTCCTCCTCTCTCCCCTCCCCTCTCTCTCCCTCCCTCATTTCCCTCTCTCCCTTCCCCCCCCCCTCCCCCTTCCCCCCCCTCTCTTCTCCTCCTGCCATGTTTATGAATCTGTATGATATGGTCAGGTGATAATGTTAAATATATGTAATTATATAACAACGAACATCCACTAGACATACAGCGTGTAGCGAGGACTAAAGTACAGAGGAACACGACTACTGTACTGGACTTATGACAACAGTATCTTACCTGTAACCGACGTAAACAAACAAGATTGGCAGCCTGTTGACCCAAACCCTTGCCAGACAGTGAAAAAAAATGGTCCTGAACACCTCCTCCTCCTCCTCCTTGGCTCCGACGCTTTTTGTAGTTTAAGCGATAGGACTCCTCTCTCTCTCTCTCTCTCTCTCTCTCTCTCTCTCGGTGCCTCAGTAAGTATTAACCGAAGAATTAACTGACCTGTGTTCTGTATGTGTCGCTACGCCCCGCTTAGAGGCCGCCACCGTGCAACAAAATGCTGGTTGACATAATGTCAGCCAGCCGCCGACTTCCCCCGCCAGCCGCCGAGCCTCCCCGCCAGCCGCCAGAGCCTCCCCTCCAGCCGCCAGAGCCTCCCCCGCCAGCCGCAGAGCCTCCCCGCCAGCCGCCAGAGCCTCCCCGCCAGCCGCCAGAGCCTCCCCTCCAGCCCCAGAGCCTCCCCTCCAGCCGCCAGAGCCTCCCCTCCAGCCGCCAGAGCCTCCCCGCCAGCCGCCAAGCCTCAGCCGCCAGAGCCTCCCCGCCAGCCATGAAGCCTCCCCGCCAGCCGCCAGAGCCTCCCCTCCAGCCGCCAGAGCCTCCCCGCCAGCCGCCAGAGCCTCCCCGCCAGCCGCCAAGCCTCCCCCGCCAGCCGCCAGAGCCTCACCCGCCAGCCACGAAGCCTCCCCGCCCCAGCCGCCAGAGCCCCCGCCACGCCAGCCAAAGCCTCCCCACTGGAACCTCCCCGCCAGCCCCAGAGCCTCCCCGCCATCCCCCAGAGCCTCCCCCGCCAGCCGCCAGAGCCTCCCCCGCCAAGCCTCCCCGCCAGCCGCCAGGCCTCCCCAGCCAGGCCTCCCCCCAGAGCTACCCGCCAGCCAAGCCTCCCCGCCAGAGCCTCCCCGCCAGCCGCCAGGCCTCCCCGCCAGCCCCAGGCCTCCCCCGCCAGCCGCCAGAAGCCTCCCCGCCAGAGCCTCCCCCACCAGAGCCTCCCGCCAGAAGCCTCCCCCCGTCTCATGGATAATAAGACTAAGTGGTGGAGTTAAGTGAGGATCAATAAGTGAGAGTATAACGTCCCGTGTACTGCTTCCCTTACCTGTCTCCCCCCTCCTGCCTCCCCCTCACCTCTGCCTCCCCCTGTCCCTACCCCTGTCTCCCCCCACCCCTGTCTCCCCCTCACCTCTGCCTCCCCCTCACCTCTGCCTCCCCCCTCAACTCTGCCTCCCCTCTGCCTCCCCCTCACCCCTGTCTCCTCTCTGCCTCCCCTCTCTCCCCCACCCCTGTCTCCCCTACCCCTGTCTCCCCTCACCTCTGCCTCCCCCTCAACTCTGCCTCCCCTGCCCCTGCCTCCCCTACCCCTGTCTCCCCTCACCTCTGTCTCCCCCTCACCTCTGTCTTCCCCTCACCCCCTCACCCTGTCTCCCCTCACCCTGTCTCCCCCCTCACCTCTGTCTCCCCTCATCCTTGCCTCCACTCATCCCTACTACCCCTCACCTCTGTCTCCCCTCACCCCTGTCTCCCCCTCACCTCTGTCTCCCCACCTCTGTCTCCCCTCCCCCTCACCCTGTCTCCCCCCTCACCTCTGTCTCCCTATCCTTGCCTCCCTCATCCCTCTTGCCCCTCCCTCTGTCCCCTCACCCCTGTCTCCCCCTCATCCTTGCCTCCCACTCATCCCTACTTACCCCTCACCGTCTCTCCTCAATCACCCTCCTCATCCATTCATCTCCCCCTAAGACTCTTCCCCTCACCCCCATCTGGTCTTCTCCTTCTCTTCCCCCTTTGTTATTTACTTGCATCTGCTGCTTCTCTCCTCCTCCTTTCTTGCTCACTCCTGCCTCCCCATTTTCCATCTTCGTTCCTTCGCCTTACCTCCCCTCCTTCTTCCCCTCCCTCTCTTTTTCCTTCGTGTTCCTTCCTTCCTCCTCCTTCTTCTGCCTCCGTCTCTTCTTTCCACCCTTTCTTTCCTTCTCCCACCTTCTTCCTCCCTTTTCTCTTCCTCCATCTCCCTTACTCCTCCTCTTCCTTTCTCCCTCCTCCATCTGCCTCCTTCCCTTATTTACTCCCTCATTCTTTCCTTCCTTTTTTTCCTTCTCCCCTTCCTCCACCTGATTTCCTTACTTCTCCTTCCTTCTCTCCCCTCATTCCTTCTCTCCTCCTTCCTTCTCTCCCTCATTCCTTTCTCCCTCCCTCCTGGTTAGGCCAGGCAGGGAGTTAAAGAGAAAGCCAAGGTAGTTGTTTTACCTCTCAGTAATTCATAGGCGAGTCAAAACTGTAGCGGCCACCCGTGTAACATGAAATGTGGAGGAGGTGCTTCTGTTCCTTACCTGCCACCCTCCCTCCTCAACCTCCTCCTCTTCCTCCTCCTCCTCTTCCTCTTCCTCCTCCTCCTCTTCCTCTTCCCCCTCTTCCTCTTTCGTCGCTGCCTCATTCCCGCTTACTTTTCATCCATTCCTCCTCCTCCTCCGACTCAATGCCACCCACCTCATTACCCCTCTTCCTCCTTGCTCCTCGTGCTCCCTTCCTCCACTCCTCTTCCCTCCCTCCCCTCTTCCCGTTCCCCCTCTGCCTTCCCCCTCCCCTCCCACCACCTCCCCCTCTCCTACACACCCAGCTCTGTGGCTGGTGTAGTCCTGAATACAAGAGCGTTTTATAGCCTTCTTGTAGTTCCGTATAAGTTAATGTTACTTTGTATACCACTGATGGACACGTGAAGGGGTCGTCACCTTAACCACTAATTTATTAACAGGCGACTAAGCATTTAATGTAATCTACCCTAACTGACCTTACCCTAACCTAACCCCCAGGGCCCCGACAAGACACCGACCCCCACAGAGACAGAGAGAGAATAGGTACGGGCCGGTAGGTGGGCGGCAGGATTACCTCTCACCTCTAGTGACGTAAAGCGCCTAAATAAGTATTAGTGCATCTGCTGCCACCTGTACTATGTCACCCTCCTTCAGTCCCTCTTTTCCTTCCCTGCCTTCCTCCTTCAGTCCCTCTTTTCCTTCCCTGCCTTCCTCCTTCAGTCCCTCTTTTCCTTCCTCCCCCCTCCTTCAGTCCCTCTTTTTCTCTCTTAAAATCTCTCCTCCTCCCTCCTTCACTCCCATCAATCTCTTCCCCTTTCTTCCCATTTCTCCTCCTTCCCTAATTCTAAACTCTTCCTCTCTCTCTCTTCCTCCTCCCTCCCTTCCAAGCTCTTCTCCTTTCTTCCTTCCACCCTCTTTCTTTTTTCTTCATCGTCTTCCTTATTCATGTCTTTCGTTTGTCTTGTATTTTCTTACTTTTTGCCTTTCTTTCTTCTTCTTCTTCTTCTTTGGTTTATCTTCCTTTTCTTCTCTTCTCGATCAGTTTCTTCTTCTTCTCCAACTCGACTCCTCCTCCTCTTCTTCTCCTCCTTTTCTCTCGTATTCTTCACCTTCCCCTCCTTCGCCTCCTCCTGGTGTACTGATAATGGAATTCTTGATAATTCTCTTCCTCTTCCTCCTCCTCCTCCTTTTGTACGGGCAGTAATGGAGGAGGAGGTG